AAAAATCGTAAGAGGGCGAGGTTGTGTTCTCCGGTTGTTCCTCCGACGATCAAGTCGGTGATTTGCTTAAGTGGAGAGTAAGTGAACTGTACTAGATCTTAAGCACAGTAGGTAGAGATTCAGATCTTACATTATTATTGAAAATAGTACCCCTATTTATAATAGTGGTAGAGGGGTAGGATGATAATTTCGACCGAGTATGGGCTGGCGGCCAAGTCAGCATTAGCTTTACAGGTGTCGGTCGACGAGTGGAGGAGAGGTCACTTCGGCATTTAATGCGAAGTGATTGAGAACATGTGGTGCCGACGTGGTCCAATGTGTCATAAAGACTATTAGGGGCAGAGGAATGATGGCGTCCATAATGCATTTAATGACATTTATTGCTAAGTGATTGGCTGTCAGTGCACGGGAAGGGGGGCTCGAGGCTCGAGGTATTTCGTCGCCTTTCTGTTGGGTGTTGGAAAATCAACAACTCGTGTCCTCTGGATCTTGTGTCGAATAGCAAGTAAGAAATCACATCAAAACAAAAAACTTGCAGGAAAGAATAAATAAAGAAGAGAGAACACCGGATTTACAAGGAGCCACACTAGAAATTCTTTGATTATTGATGAAGATTACAATGCCTGCAAACGGCTATCTCTTTCTCCAAGATCTCTGATCTCAAAGTGCTGGATTTTCTCTGAAAATCACTGCTAAAATCGCTCTTGAAAATCAGAAACAGCAACAGAAAAAACGCAGCCGTCACATCCCTATTTATAGGGAAACCCTAAAAACGAAACATAATATGAATCTGTTTTCTGCGAAGTTCGCCTGTTTCGCATGAACTTAAGTCCGACTGCTTCGCCTGAACTGATGTTTACCTGCTTCGCCTGAACTTAAGTTTGCCTGAACTAAAGTTCGTTTGCTTCACCTGAACTGAAGTTCGTCTACTTCGCCTGAATTGAAGTTCGCCTGAACTGAAGTTTGTTTGTTTCGCTTGAACTGAAGTTCGCCTGATTTCCAGACTTAGAACAAATCGTGTTGTGCATGTTTGTTCTAAAGTTTGGGTCTACACCCCTAAAAATAAACACTTTCTACTCATCCAGTAATTAAAAAGTATCGCCCTTTGAATCGCTTTCGCAAGATGTCGGCCGAATGGCCAGTCGAGTAGGTCGATCAAGGAGTCAACCTAGCTAGGGGTCGACATATAACGCCATTTGAGTGGTCCTCTCGAGATGTCGGCATGTCGAGTCGTCTGAGCTGGGTCTTGGGTTATTTTGAAGAGCTAGCTCGATTACGCATAATGTGGGACGCTTGTCTGTCATTGATTGGAGATTACTTTTCAGCCCAAAAATGACTATAACAGATGTTATATAAGAACATTCTGATGGAAATTTTAACGTTCACACAATAGAGGGTATTAACTTGACAATTTAAAAAACTTATGGCATACAAATGTTATAAAAGAACAAATGAAAATATATAAGTTCCAAGTGAATGACCACACACACAAACACATAGGGAAATAGAATATTTTCAATAGTACTTCTACATAAAAATATCATAAACATTTTTACTTTTATAGAACTACTTTCTTGCCCTTGGCCGGGTTAGTTTAGGGGCTGTTTGGTTCGCTATTATAAGGGGTGGAAAACTCAGAAAACCCCTCCACGTTAGATTTTTAGCCCTCCACGTCAGCTTTTTTGTTTCCGTCCATTTCTTTGTGCCGCTTTGGTTCGCTCGAATGGAAGAGGGAAAACTCTGCTGAAATCGCCGCCAACTAAGATTTTTTTTTCCTCTCCGATTTCCTTCCCCAACCAAGTGAAATTGATGAAAACTCTGCCACGTCAGATTTTTTTCCTTATCTGCTTTGTTTACAAAAGTTTTTCTTTTTTTTTCTATGCGAAACAAACACAAGAAAAATAAATACACTGGTTTCCCACCATTTTTTATGTGCGAACCAAAGCAAAACAATCTATTTCTTGGAAAAGTTTGGAAAACTCAAAACTTGTGTTTCTTTACATGGAATTGCATTTCTCTATATCAAGGAAACGAACCAAACAGCCTCTTAGACTTTTTAATAGCCCAATCAATGTTGAGAAGATCATTTAACTCTGTGATGCATATAGTTTTGAAAGATATAATTATTGCAACAAAAAATAGATAGAGATGAAAAGATTATTATTACAACAAAAGTTATATGTATAAATAATTAAAGTGGCCTTTTTCAATGAAAAAGCTATATGTTGATTTTATGAAATATAAAATTTTGAAAAATAGAGAATCTATTTTTTTCGCACTAGTATAATGCGTTGAGAATATCATTTAACTAAGTGATGTACATAGTTTTGAAAGATATAATTATTGCAGCAAAAATAGATAGAGGATATAAGTTAATGTATAAATTAGTAAAGTGATCTTTTTCACTTGAGAAAACTACACGTTGATTTTATGAAAGATAAAAATTTGAAAAATACAAAATCTAATTTATCGTTTTATACGTATTTATATAACTTCTCCAAGTTAGCTGAAGACTGAAGTCCCTTACGGGATCATACAGATTAACTTTATCGTTTTATACGTATTTATGCTCTTCTAATTCAACCTAATTTTTCAAAGCCACATCTAAACTCATATCCAAACAGAGAACCATATCCATGCACATAGCAAATACCAAGCAACGAGCAAAGTCAATAGAATTCTCAACTGATCGGATATTCTGAAATGATTAAATCTTATACCTAATTCCTTGTTAGGCTGAATCTTTCCGAAAAATAAAATTATAACTTATGAACATTTCCGAAAATTAGAATATTTAAACCTAAGCAAGCGAAGTCAATCTGTTTCTAATTACTAGAAATAAATTTTAACTATTAAAAGGGCATTTGACTTTAAGGGGTATAAGAGGTACCGAATTTAATTCTCGGAATGCCTCTTTTTCTCTCAAAAAGAAAACCTTTAATCAACTTCCACTGAGTTCTCTCTCAGTGTTTGTGGGTTAGATTATAAAAGGATAAAAAGGCCAAGGATTGTCTCTTTTTCTTTTAAAAAGAAAACCTTTCTGTCCTCAAAACTGTTAATCAATTTCCACTGAGTTCTCTCAGTATTTGCCGGGTAGAATATAAAAGACTAAAAAGCCAAAGTCCTGATACCATACTTCGATTGCAAGCTAGGTGGGCATTCAGAAAGGGGTTCAAGACGTGAGTTGTTGGAATCAGTTTGGGGTCCGCACTATATGGCCTTCTTTGTCACACACCAACAAAAATAAAAGCTGTAACCTGGTTCCCATGTTAAACTTGTGAAAACGGCGAAGGAATTGTGAAAAACGTAAAGAATAACCCAAAACAGACTCCACCACACCCTGGTGTGGTGTCTGTCATGGGTGTGGTAGAATCTGTCCTGCACCACACCCTCTGCCACACCCACGGTGCAGGGTGTGGCAGAATATGTCCTGCACCACACCCTCTGCCACACCCATGGTACAGGGTGTGGCAGACTCGTTTTTAGAATCCTCCTTTGTTTGGGAATCCTCCTTTGTTTGTGATTGTGTTTTATTATAAATAGGACCACGTTTTTTAGGGTTTCTTAAGGAGAGAAAATGAGAGAATTAGCATTGTTTTGAGCACTTTGAGAGGGAGATATTGTGAGGGAGTTGAGAGCTTTGGTTAGGGTTATATTTGAGTGATTTTGTGAGTTGTAACCCGTTGTATTTCTCCTCCATATAGTGAAATCTCCCCATCCTCTCCACGTGGACGTAGGCAATTGCCTAACCACGTAAATCCTTGTGTTTGGTTTGATTTTTCTTCCGTGATCTCAAGTTCATTGTGTGTGCGTGCAACGCTTCCGCATAGGCGCGCGACAAGTGGTATAAGAGCTCAGATTTCAGATCTAGGGTTTTGGATTAGGTGGAGGAAGATTCATTTGGAAGCTTGGTTCTTGGAGTTCCAGGCTTTGGTGGAGTTAGGGTTTGAAGTTACCGTTAAAGATCTCGCTTTCCTCGTGTGGTTAGGAGTTCTATTTGGAATCCAATCTAGGGTTCAGTTGGGTAATTTCTTATTCCTTTCAAAGTTTGAATCTTTCCTTGCAATTTGGAATTTATGATTATGGGTAAAGAAGTTGGTGAAAGCAGCAAGATGATCGGCACGGTTCAAGTGGGTTTTTAGGACACTAAGATTAGTATAGTGAAATATGACGGCAAAATCAA